TTTTGGAAAACATAATATAACTGAGAAACGATGATACTTATCGATATGCGGTATTCACCCATCAGTTTGTCATAAAATTTGTCCCTCAGGCAAAGCCAGTAGTTCTCATTTATCTAGTTCGAAAATGGGACTTTTCTTTCAGAAGTGTCCAATTTGACCCGCTCTGTACATATATTATAGTTAGTTACCATAAGCCAATTGTTATTTTTGTAGGGTTGAATGGAGAAACTAATAATGTAATCCACAAAATTAGTATAATCATTTTCAAGCCACATTCCACATAATAAAAGAATATTACGTTATTGCTTATCAGATTTTCATAATACTGTATATGTTTATCGCTTACTCAATACTGTACGTCTTTCCGACGAGAGAGGAGGAGCCTGTCTTAAGCTGACGTATGCGTGAGAGAAAGGGGAGCTAGACAGACTGGCGCTGTAACGCGTTTGGTGACGAAGCGGTTTATACCCTCCTTTTAAATAATCCCGGAATCCTGAATTAAGAAGCTCGAATTGAAGTGTTGGGAACATATGCTGCAAGAGCCCACTACCTCCTCACGATCAGTAGCAGAATAGACGGGAATGTCACACGAAACTGTGAAAGCACCTGAAATACATACATTTGATCCATTCAAAGTGCAGATTATTCACGTGCTGGATGGTATTGAATTAGCCATCGAGTTCTGACCACAGGCACATCCGTTTCGATCTAGTTTCACATCGCATAGTGACTGCAAAATTCAAAAATCCACGAGAGAACGACTGGAAAGGCTATATAGAGACGCTGAGGGAGTCTTCAGATAGGAGAATTGCAACCATTAGGGATACAGATAGTCTAGAGGAGGCAGTCGAACAGTAAACAAGGCAATCATGAAGGCCTACCAGAAAAACTGTCCCAAAAACAACAAACTCTACAAAGGCGAAACCGTCTGGTGGAATTAGTACCTCAAAAAGCTGAGGCACGAAGTACGAAGGCTATTCAACAAAGCCAAAGGAAACCAAGACTGGGACACATACAGGAAAACACTTACGCAGTATAACAAAGAAATCCGAAGGGCAAAAATAAACTCATAGAGGAGGTTCAGCATGAAGGTGTAAGAAATACCTACTAGTTTGAGAATACACCAAGTACTTGCCAAGGAAAATTCTGCGAGCTAAGTGGGTTTCCTCAAAAAAGAGGACGGAATCTACACAGAAACGGAAGGCTACTGTTGACAGCCCATTTTCCAGTAACATAGGAACCAGGGCTCTCGGGGTGGGGGCTTCCTTTCTCCCAACAAGGAACAGAAGGCCAACGGCGGGGGATTGGAGGCTGGCCACCGAAACCACGAGACCGGATAGGATCAGATGGGCGATCCAATATTCAAGCCAGGAATAGACGAAATCTATTTCGTTCTGCTACAAAAGGGACTGCATGTCACATCTAAGCAGGATTTTCAGAGCTCGCGTGGCCTGAAAATATATTCCAAAATCATGGCAAGAAGTGAAAGTAATAGGCAGAATATTAGACCAAACGCCGAAGTCACACAAACTTATCAGTCTAACGACCTTTCTGATGGAAACCGGTGAAAGGTTACTGGACTGATACATAAGAGACGAAGAACGTTGAACGAAAGACCTCTTAGTGCTCGTATGCGTACCAGCCTGGGAAATCGACAGATTCAGCGATGGACGACTTGAACAGACTATTATCTAAGTAGGCGGACGATCTCCTCAGAAAGCTATCTGAAGAAGGCATATATTGCCTGGGATATGCTGACAATCTGGTGATAGTCACAAAAGGGGAATTTGCAGGTGTCATCTCGGAGCACAGATGACACAAGCATGAGAACCTCTATACAAGGGTAGTGAGACCCATGATAACATACGGAGCAGTGACTTGGTGGTCAAGAACAAGGCAATCGGGTACGGTTAGGATACTAGGCGGCATACGAAGGCTGGCATGCCTAAATGTCGCAGGAGCCATGAGATCGGCCACAACTGCAGCAGTTGAGGATCTACTTGGACTTTCACTATAGCACATCTACATACAAAGAGAAGCAGGGGCGAACCCCAATCAGCCAGTCACACGGTGCAGAATACTTGAAACTGTACAATGAACTGAAGGCAGATCCAATACTAGGAATGCCCGTGGATAACACAGTTCCACAGTACAACTTTCAAAAATATTTCAAAATCATCATACCAAGTAGAGAGGACTGGCAAAACGGCCCACCTGTGAAAGCGGAAGAAACTTGGTATACAGATGGCTAGTAAGGAGTGGGAGCCGGTATATACGGAGGCAGAGCAAATACAAGAATCGCACTCAGCCTCGGACATGATGCAACCATTTTCTCCGACAGTCAGACGGCAATTGAAGCACTCAGTTCATTTCAAGTTTCCCCAAGACTGGTGGGAAGCTGTCTGAGCGCACTCAAGGAGCTGAGTATCCACTCTAGTTTGAGTACCAGGACATGAGGGTCACAAGGGCAACGAGGAGGCCGATGTTATAGCCCGTGAAGGCGCATCCAAGGCTATGAATCCTTCTGCGGGGTAGGGAAAGCATGGATGCAAGCCGAAATGATAGATTTCTGGAATAAGCTCCTAGGAATGAGGTAGGCGAAAGACTTCGTAAAGAAATCATTGCCCAGATTCACGGAAGACCTGCATAACCACAACCGTGAGGTTGCAAAGGCTGTGGTGGGTCTTCTAACGGGGTATAGCCGACTTAGGAAACATGAGTAACATGGGTTTGACAGAAAAACCCCAATGCAAGTTCTGTCAAGAAACCGCACTGCATATGCTCTGTGAATACAAAGCGATAGCAAGGCTGAGACGCGCAAGATGCAGGTAAGAGAAACCATAGACTGCCAGTTATATGAAGGGATCATTGTTGAAGCTATGGAGTCTCGTCAGAGAGATCAAGCTAGACAATGAACTCTCACAACCAAGGATCAACAATTGATCTGAAAAGGTTGCAGTGAATCAGACCATGGCCTAGCTCCTCGACAATCTAATCGAATTCTCGCGCTTCGAAAGGATGTTTATGATGAAAAACTAGAATTTTGAAAAACGATCCCGCATCGAGTCAATGCCAACTCTGATATTTTGTTAAATATCTGTGTCAGCGATAAATGCTCATTTTTACTGAATGGAAATGTAATGAGGCACAAATATCGCTATTGCACTGACGAACACCCTCACATCTTTCGAGAATGATTTACAAAATACCAACAAGTTGATGTTTTGGGCTGGTATTCTTGGAAATGAAATTATTGGTCCTTTATTCATCGAAGTAAACTTGACTGGCAATCTGTAGGTTCTTAGATATACTTGAGAAGACCATTGAGCTATGAATGCAAATTGATGCAGACAGTAATGTAATATTGTGGGGGTATCTGTTATATTTCCAGCAGGACAGTGCCCCACCTCATTAATTTCGTTTCGTTCGAGAGTGATGCCCGGATGATTTGTGTGGCGGAAGGGGAGCAATTGAGTAGCCTCTAGGATCACCGGATTTATCACCCTTAGATTTTTCCTCCAGGAACATCTTGAACCCGTCATTCATAAAACATATACCATTGTTAACATAAAGAATGTTGAGATTACAGTTTTCTTTCTTATGACTCGTCATATTTCCCAGGGCTACTCACTGGGTCTATTGAAAAGTCACCTGAACAAAATGGGACAGGACAACAGAGATCTTCGCTGCAGCTTGATAATAAGAAGCCTTCAATTTATAAACAACCGAAATGATCTCAAGAAGGAAATGTAAAAACAGAAAAGGCTGTGAGCCCGCATTATTTTCCGGAGATTTGGAAGCAAGAGAAAAGTCAAACAAAAAAGGGAATGTGTGTACTTATGTACGCACGTAAGAAGTTATACTTCGTTTTTTTTCAGATCATTCATCGTTGTGATCATTCGTTCAAATTCATTTATGTATTATGTATTCCAAATATTTATTGAAATTCATTTTGATACTATATTGTATTGTGTATGGGACAACCTGACGACGAACTTATTATTCAAAACTTTGAGATTACTTTAAGGAATAAAAAGTTATTTCAATTCAATATTTGGAATAATATTTTGTGCTATCATCTTCTGTATAGTTATGTATATATACAAAACACGTATTGTAGGTTCAGAAACACTTGAATAAATATCGTGAATACAGTTGACACTTCTCCCGCAAATATACGTAGATGTCTTCACCTTTACTTTGTTGGTAACTTTTCGAAAAACTGAAATGTTGACTAGCTAAGTTCAGGGACTTTTTCTCCGATCGCGACAGAAGACGATTGTGCCGATAAACGACCGTCCTCAAAAATGACACGTGGATGTCGTGGTCGGGGTAAAGTTCGAAAGTGAGGTGTTTTTTAGAAAATAAAAGTCAATTCAAATAAAAATTGAAGTGGAAGATATTTTGAGAGGAGTGGCGGCGGCCTACGCCAGTAACCAGGCTGGATGTCAACGGATTTAACGGGGTCGTTAGTGCGATAATAGATGAGTCAAAGTCATAATGTGAGGACTGGCGACCCCATAGTAACGAAGCTTCTGTTCACTACGGACAGGAGGAGTCTGGCCAAATGCGCTCGACTGAGAACTCCAGGGTGTCGGTTTCTCATGATGGTGTGCGCACGCATTGTAAAAATTTACCCTCATCATTTTTCCCCAACGCGCCAAAAAAAGTATAACGTCAAAAATATTTTTTCATTCACTGGACGACCTATTACGGTTGGTTTTCTTTTGCATATGCTATGTAGAAATGAATATCATTTGTCCTAAAAATAACATGGAATATGTCAACTCAATTAGTACACTTCTCCAGGCGCATAGGTTTTTGTTATAAATCAGTGACTGTTAATCATGAGATAAATTATTGTGATATTATGTTGACAAATCACTGATTAGCGCTTCATCGTCAATCCTCAACACTCTGAAGTAGCGATAGAAACAAATATTGACTGAATTAGCAACCACATAATAATTAATCGGAAAGGTAGGGAGATATACTTCGCAGATTCAGTTATTTCTACATCGTCAAAGGTGAATGTTTTCAGTAGTTCGAAATGAATTTCCATAAGTTTAATTATTATATACTTCCTCAAAATAAGACCCCAAGCCCCTCTGGCAATAACTTTTTATGGTCCTTGAAGTGAGTATGAACTATAGTGGGGATTCTAAAACTCATTGTATTGCTCCCAACTCATTATATTAATCTCCATAACTGGGTTATTTATCTTAAAACCCACAGCTCAAACAGTAAAACTTTTGTCAACCCATCATTTGATGCAAATTGAGCTTTTTTCATAGTGATAGCTGAAAATCTTCATGATATTCTTTTTTCAGTCCACCTGAGGAGTACACATATGGAGAAGAAACAGACGATGGAAGTGAGGAAGGTGAAGACAGTGAGTACAATAAACCAAGAAGACAACACTGGTCCAATAAACTTCAATTTGTACTCGCCTGTGTTGGATATAGTGTTGGTCTTGGATCAATTTGGAGATTTCCGTATCTTTGCTACAAAAGTGGAGGAGGTGAGTATTCTTATGTAGATATTTATCTCGAAAAAAAATACACATTATTATTAACTATATATTGCTTGGAAAGTTATCAGAATATTTATCAACATTCCTCTTTTATCAAATGAATATGCTTTGAGTATTGATGTTAATTATGAGGTCAGCATTATACAGCAATAGTTTCTCGTGGTATGAACGTATCATTACAGTTTATGAATTATACCAATATGAAGTTTATTCAATTATGGATTATAAAATACATTCAAAGTTTATGATCATTCGACGACAACTAACAACATTCAACAAGAGATAACAAACTAGGTATTNTCATTTATTGATGGTCACCAGAAGTAGTTTTATTTCTGGAATATTCTTATTCAAATAAGAACACTGACAAAGCGACGACAAAATTCAGTAGTTCTCATTTTAGACATATTCTCATTGCTATAAATTGTGGAATTTCGTCTGAAAATAAAGTTCAATCATTAATTTACAACTATCCTAACTGTTTTAAGCTAAGTAATTTTGGGATGTTAGTGGGATAAGAAGATCGTGCGGTTAATGCAATATAATACAACAAAGTTGTGGAAAGTTTTGGTTTGAAATATATAATGCACCAAAGTTTCCCCCATTAATCTCAATATCACCATATCAAGAATACCAAATTATACTGGGCAAAACACGCGGAGTTCTTTTTTGTTTTTTATTTCTATTATCCTCGTCGCCTCTTCCGAGTTTGGTGTGAAAAAATAACGTTATATTCACAGTTCTTTTATTTGCAGAAATTATGTAACTGCTTTCTCGTGATACCGAAACGAAATCCTACCTTAGAATGCTTTATGTGAGCATGTACATACAGTGGTGATGAAAATTATGAAACAGATTGATTGAAAAATTTTATCAAAAAGTTTCAATAATTTAATTTTCTTTGCTGGATATTATTTTGTCCTATATAGTATACCGCATTTAAACTGAACCAAAGAGCTACTGAAATAGACCCAAAAAATAACCATGCATTTGGTAATGACAGTGTTGATGAACGCATTATTCGACGTTTGTTTGCGAAATTTCGTTCCGGAGGTTTCAGTCTCGGAGATGAACTTCGAATTGGTCGACTCACAGTAATACAGGACGAGAATTTGAGTCTGGCGAAGACTGACTGACCCATCACAAACGGTGCGTGGGATTGCGGAAGAACTGAGCATCAGCTCTCATGCTGTTTTTGATGGTTCAAAATGTATTGGAAAGGCCAATAAGTTCGAAAAGTGGAGGCACTCACTTTCCTTTTTTTCCATGAGTTTCTATGAGTTTCATTTTTTGTATTGAGATGAAGAAGTAGAAAGCCAAAAACCTACCTTTCTCAAAAAATATCTAAAAATACACTCCTTTCAATTTAGACTATTTTTTATATCACTTTTCATACCTCCTATATCAGTTCGAGGAACAAGAAGAATGTGAGAACGTCATAAATATGCAACTGGAAACCGTGCCGCACTGGGGTATCGGTAACCTATTGAAATTCAATACTGATAAAACATCATGCTTTTTCTGAAACAAAGTCGATCTCACTGGTACCTACCTGCGTCATTATTTCGAGTGTCGTATTTCTCAGATGAAGTATTGTTTCATATATGTGTTTCAGCACAATCCAAAGATTCGCACAAAAAACAATTCATCTTCGATCACGTATCTCGTTCTCTCCTACAGAGTGTTTGTATTGAATCACTCAATGCCAATGCCAATAGTGGAACAGACCACTCATGCCAATCCAACCTTCAACTATTTCCTGCTAATAAAAAAATGCAAATATCCCAAACGATAATTGTAACAATTCAGTTACAAAATTAGTAGAGTTATGTTATCGTTTTAAAGATGTTATAGATCCAGTGTTAATTGATTTGTGTTTTATTGATTGTCAGAACATGTACAAAAGAACTATTAGTGGTAGTAAAATAAAAAAAACATATTTTTTTAAATTCAATTTTTACAATCAATAAAACACAAATCAATTAACACTGGATCTATAACATCTTTAAAACGATAACATAACTCTACTAATTTTGTAATTGAATTGTTACAATTATCGTTTGGGATATTTGCATTTTTTTATTAGCAGGAAATAGTTGAAGGTTGGATTGGCATGAGTGGTCTGTTCCACTATCCGCCGGTTGAACGGTGGTTTAAGCCTCATGACCACACGATCAACTTCCAATCCTTATCGTCCAACCCGAACTAGGAATGGCACGTTAAAAAGTAAGTACTTGTCAATCCGTAGCTCGCACAAGTTTCGACTTTCAAGGGTTGTCGTTCGCAGGGGAGGGACAACTGGTCTACGGAAAAACCTGGAGCGACTAAAGGCCGGGACACACCTGTCATACACCCATCAGATCCGACTCCCATCATACAATCGGACGAGTGTCTGAGAGGGAAATGGTACTTTAGTCCGAATAGAGTAGTTAACATCGTTCCGATACGAGGCCAACCCCGCTCCCACCCGACTCCGATCCTGCATTTGATCATGATTCGATAGTGCAGCCTATTTGTTCTCCAGCTGCGGGACGGGTATCGCTTGGAGTTTGTATGATATTTGAGTTTTTTGTTTTCTTCAAATTAAATTTAAAAAATGTCAATAAAACCGAAGGAGCTCATTGAACAAGTCAGAAAATATCCAGTGCTATATCACCAGACTGAAGAGCTGTACCACTGTTCTTTATGAGAGCTCTCCGATTTTCCTCATCTTCTTCTTCCAAACAGAGTGCCTTAATAGCTAAATCGCAGTTGCTGAAATTCTTGAACATTTTGCTTAGAAGACCTTCCTAGATATTGTTTCAATCGACACTGGCGAGAGTGGCAAGTGTATCAAGCCGGAGTGGTATATCGGAAAGAAGTCGGAAGCCTGTATGACAAGTGTGATTACCCACTGACGATCCTGCACCGATCCGCTTTTGGGGCAAAATCAAACCGGAGTCGGATCGGAGAGGTGTATGAAGAAGTATGTCCCGGCCTTTAATCAGTCGTTGCCGTCCTCGCAGTCAAAGGGCATACATCTGATGATGTCTGCGGTAGTAGCAGACGAAACATTCGGTACTCCAAGTTCCACCACAAAAAAGAGAGGGCACCCCATTATCGCTGTTCCATAAATCTTTGCATCCTGCATCATCGGTGTTTCTCACCAAAAAGCAGTGTGAAGTTGAAACAAGAAATTTTTTTGATCCATTCTTTTGAAAATAACAAAAGTAGTATTTCATCAGTTCGGACTTCCATTGTCTAATATAATTCAAATTGATTTGAAATCCCTGAAGGAATCTGTGAAAAATTAAAAAGATTAACCAAAAAATAACAATTTTATTAAACAAAAAACTGTAATTACAAAGAAATAACATACAAGCAACAACCAAAAAAATAAATATTTTTTTTTAAATAGAGGGCAACTGAAAATATTTCCATATGTTACGTATCTCTACGCTAGCTTGGCTAAATGCGTTTTTGGACAACATATATGCAGCTTCTTTGAATTTTCTTCTGAACCAGTGTTCCTCCTTGATTTCAGCTTGAGCCCAGTTGATGTTATGTTGATGAGTCCAAACATGCTCTGCTATTCCGGATTTGCTGGTTTCTCCTCGCTGTGTGTGTTTCTTGTGCTCAGCAATGCAAAGTTTCAATGGCCTCTTAGTTTCACCGATGTATGATTCTTCGCACTCGCAGGGTATCCGGTAGATGCAATTCTTGTAATCTCAGTCCGCGTTTGGTGGCCTGGTTTTCGAGAGGCTGCTACGGATAGTGTTCCCAGATCTGAAGCAGTTCCTGATGTTATACTTAGACCCAATCCTTCGTATCCTTTCCGATACTCCTCTGATGTAGGGAAGTACAAGTACTGGTTGTGGCGGCTTCTCTTCCTTGTGGATCTCTTGCTGTCTTCTAGCTAAAGCCTGTTTTTCAGGCATTTCAAATCAATTTATATTATATTAGACAATGGAAGTCCAAACTGATGAAATACACCACGAAACATTGTCAACCACCTTCAAAAAAACAAAAGTAGTGTTACTCTTAGCAAAATAAATCACAAAATTATGAGTAGAATATCATGAAATTCCAACAGCTCTCTTTTGAAGGTTAGTGCTAACTGAAAAAGCAGTAAATACAATAACACTAGCGCCATCCATGTGTCAGTCCCAAAACATTCCAGCCCAGGTAGTATATTAGCTTCTTTACCCAATTGAAAAATGAAGTAACAAAATCGGTAATCAAAAAATGATTTTTATAATATTTTTCCTCAAATACATTCCGTATCAGTCAGTTGAAATAATTCCAAATCATGGTATAATGGAAAAGAGTATTTTAAAATGATACAGGCGGAATTATTATAGACAGGAATTCTGCCTGGGAGAGTTATATTGGATTATGCCTGTTGACTGATGTTTTTATACCTGAAGCTTCAGCACGTTTCAATCATTTGCATAACAACCGTAAACTTTGTTACGCTCCTTGAATATTTTTTTGGCATTGTGTATCCATTGGCATCCACTTTCGCTTTATCCTCCTGAACTTGAATTTGCTCTATAGAATATGATGAAACGGAAGTCGAGTTTAGTTTTTTTTAACTACTATTGAGGGAATCGAACATTCTCGAATATTATTTTACTGGTGGCATGTGGAACGATATTTTGATCTTCAAATCTTCAGAAATGAATATATTTCAACAAATAACTGAACATTATTAAGTACAATTAATTCAATACATATTCATTCAAGTAACAGATTTTCACTGGATAGTTTACAAAGCCGCAAGCGTTTGCATATTCAGGAAGCTGCTTTATTGCGTTTTTGTGAATGTCCAGTGAAAATATCAAGTGTTAGTTGAATGAGTTTCAGATTTTTATGAAGTTTCGGCCAATTTCATCACATTATTATTCACCTTATCGTTTAGTCTTCTCCCAAATTATTGCTGACCCTTTCTTGTTACAAAAAATGCTGAGAGATTTTTTATGTATAGTAATAAGCCGGAAACTTTCACTTATACAGGGTATCACAGAATTGAGTTACTAAGCGATATTCCCATCATTTGTAAAGCTAAAGAAATGAAACCGTTGGTATTGAAAGCCTTCACAATGTCCTTCTGAGATCATTTTTAGTATTGTTGTTACCATTCCAGTTCATAAGGAATCACACACAACTTTTTTCTTTAAATAGCGCCCCTAACGATAGTATGCTTCATTTTAAACTTTTTTAATGACAAAACAGAAGCACTGCAGAAAAGTCTTTAAGGCGGTCTAAGAGCGGTGCTTGTACGAAAGTAGCGATTCTTATTGGATTTCAATAGCTGGAGATTAACTGCATTTTAAAAAACGTTCTCAGGAAGTTTATTTCACAAAACGGCCGTATTTTAAATGAGGAGGTTTTTGAACACTGAAGTTCGAGGTGTACTGAGTTGAATCTCAAAACGATGAACAACCACAGTGAGTCGCGTATTTCAGTTATGTACCGCTCTTGGTGGAATCAAATGTTCATAGTCACTTGAACACTTTCCGTGAAAGTATCTATAGAAGAGAGACAAATCCCTAACCTTTTTTCGATGTTCCAGACTATCAAGGGAGCAAGTGATGTTCGTGTCTCCAATTAGGCGAATGAATCTTGTTTGGATGGTATCCAGCAGCTTCAGGGTATGCTTAGAGGCGGAGCTCCATATATAATAATAATAATAATTACTGTCGGGGAAGAACAAAGTTGCTGCAACAAATATGCTTGCCGTTCCAATCTTTCTATACTCTTTTGGAGTAGTAAAGTGGACTCGGGAGGAGCTGTATCAACTCGACGTAAAGACCAGAAATATGATGCATTTCTATAGGAGTTTGCATCCCAAATCGTCCGTTCCACGGTTGTACTTCCCCCGACAACAGGGAGGCCGTGGACTTTAGAGTTTGGAGTGTCTCCATGACATAATGGTACTGGATACAGCCTGTAAAGTCGTCAGGAGTTCGGATCCCCTTCTCTGCATGGTCCGTGACCATGGGAGAGCAGGAATTGGAGCATTTCTTTTTAGGGCAGCTGCCCGAGCAGCTGATGAAATGCTGCTGGTATAGTTTTCGACTCTGAACGAAGAGACTACAACTCTGTCAATGAGTTGGTATCCGTTCAGTAAGAAGCTCAGATAAAAGCCGCAGAGATCACCTCACCTCTGCGGAAACACAAAGATAAGCCAATGCCCATATGTGGTCTTCTTCAATAACATTGAAGACCTTGGCTTATCAAAGCGCCTGACTTTCGCTTTCCTCTGGTCGAGTGGGCTGAGGGGTTCATCATGGCTTGCCAGGATGGTGTCTTCAACATCTCAGTCTACCGCAGTCACCTGAGGGGTATAGAGGTTTCTGACACAAGGTACAGGGCCTGCCGCGAGGCGCCCTAGACCCTAATGCACTTGCTATCAGCATGTACAGCATATGCGGTCTCGGCCCATATACATCGACATAACTCGGCCCTAACTGTGCCATATTACCATCTACGGCACTCTTACAGTACTGACGAGACATCGGTGTTGCCCTACGCTTCGGAGGATATTGAATCCTATGTGGAGAATGAGAAGTGCCGAATTCATTGGAACTATTCGTTTCCCACCCTCAGGCTCATACAAACTAATAAGCCTGATGTAGTCCTTCCCGACCACCAGAGCAAAACGACATTTGTCGTGGAGTTTTCAGCTCCTGGCGAGACTAATGTCGTCAGAAAAGAGGAGGAAAAACGGATAAAATATCGAGATTTTCTCTTCGAACTCTGCAGACTCTATCCAGATCACTCTGTCAAGATAGTTATAATGATCATTGGAGTCCTTGGTGGAATGATGTCCTCTCTACTCTTGAATCTTAAAATCATACCGGCTTGCCACACTAAGGCAGAAATCTCAGCTGCACAGATGCAGAAAGCTGTCATTCTTGGCTCACTGCGCTTGCTCAGGGCACATGATTCGCGGACCCAATGATCACTTACTCCCAACCAACCCCCTTTTCCAGAAAAATTATTGGATCACTAAACTAGTTAACTGAATAATAATAATGTCTTTATTCCCAATGAAAAATAAAATGTTACATTATATTCGTCTTGTTACTCAGAAAACCCAAGGGGAGTTCACCCGAAGGTGCTCTACCACTCAACCCTTGCTATTTTAAATATTCATATTATAACTTAAAGAGTAACCTAACTAACCCTAAAACCTAAATTTATATAACACAGTTTTTGGCATTTGTTGACATTTGTTGAGAACAATACTCCAAAAAAGGTCTCATCTGAGGTTTATGAAGTACAAATGTTACTGAGGTACAGTTTTCTGGTTTGGAACAATGTTCCAAGCCTTTGAGAAGAAACCTTTGCAATTCCAGCGACATGATTGTGTCAAGACATATTGGTGCCCATTTGAACACCCAACAAACTCATCAAAGCAAAAAGTGGGATTGTCTATCCAGGCATTATTATATCCGGTTCGGAATTTTTTTTTTTGAAGAAAACCGATGCCTGGGTTTTGGTGACATTGAATTGAACTTTGTCTCAGGATGGTGTGTCAATACTTTTCAGCAATACTCTCAAGGGCATACACTTTTTCAAATGTTTCTGTCTGTAAAACTTCAAATACTTGATTTTTGTATAGTACTCTTCAAAATACAAATTATTATCCATTGAAAAACTTTGTATTTCATCTTTCCTCGAATTTTTATTCGGTACTTTCATGGACTATCGCGAATGATATGAAGTGTTGTCAAGAACTATCACGTCATTCGCGTCCAAATTTAGGATCAATCTGTTTTCAAACTATTCCTCGAGAATATTATCTTCCATTTTCTTATGATATAGTCATAATTGCAGACCCCAAGTTTTTTTCCACATAATTTCAAAGAATTCGGAACCCATCCTGTACTTTCTCCGCAATGCACAATAATTAGTCGCGATCTTTTGATTACTGGCATGTTAGGCGTACACATTCTCGAACCATCAGTCAACCCTTCCGTAACAAAGTTGTGTGTCATACCAAGTTTCGTCCAAATAGAAAATTTTCCGTTATTCTTGTCTATATTTAGTTATTTGTTCTAAGTATTTGTTACGCAATTCCACTCTTCTTCTGCTTGACATTTATTCATTAGTTTTGCCACTGCAGCTTTTCGTTATGGCGAAAAGATTCAATTTATTCCTTATGATTTTAGTTGTAAGAATCTCATTGCTTTTTTAAGAGTCGTATATTGTTTTTTCAATGATTTCATTAGATGAATATCAATAGGTTTTGGCAATCCTGTATCACATCGCGTTTTGCGTTCGTAAGGTTTGTTTTTAACTATTTTATATACAGTTGGGAAAGGAATTTCGGTCAAATCTGATGTTGCTTGTAATAGTTTATTTCCCTCGAAACCAAACTTGAGATGTAGATTATTATATACATTGAAACATAATTTCTGTGTTTCAATATTCAAATGCATCCGAATCTTATTCACTGGTAACTCTGTTTCGGATTGTTCACCATTGCCATTGGAATCACTAAAATGGAAAATGCCCGGGTTGTTATTACATTCGTTATGACTATTAGTCATAGTCATGAACTGAACACGACAGCGATAACCATCCCCTTGTCTGATTTCCACTTACTTATGTAATGATATTAATACGACCAAGGTTTCGGTTTTTACACCATTCTCAAGTGTTCTAACACTACTCTTGTGTTAGAACCCTTGAGAATGGTGTAAAAACCGAAACCTTGGTTGTATCAATATCAATACATTAAGTAAGTGGAAATTAGACAAAGTATTTTATTCCTATATCTAATCTACAAATAACGGCCAAATCGCTCGTCAACAGGATTGTGAGACACCTTGTATACTTGGGGCAACATTTCGGGACTGGGCAGGAAGTCTGATAACGATATTTCTTTTTGGCAGGAAGGAAGGAATTTTGATGGTTTTCGAAACTGAAATTATACATTCATCACAATATTGCCTAAATAGATACAGTTGCACTTCTTAGCTTACTTAGAATCTTATAGATTCTATTCAGAAACGGGCCAAAGGATACTTATACATTACAAGCAAATTCGAAAACCTCCGACAATGAAGGAAATAGAATTCAACATGAATTGTCACTTCCATACGGATCTGAAAATGTTTCTCTAGTGCTTATGAATCTCAATAAACACAACTCAGACAGAGGGTAAACGATTTCGATGTTCATAATGAGGCAAGCTGTACTTTGTCAACCCACTCTAGTAAAACGTTATTCAATTTCCAAACTCAATCATTCCAATTGAACAAAATAAACTATCAGACATACATGAAACTTCCAAACCGAGTATGTTCCACATATACTTAGCGAGTCGGGTGAACACATAAAAGTCGTTCGATTGATGACTTATTTATTTTGTAGAAGTTCATGTTGAATATAGAATGAAGAAAATATTTTTGTTTAGTTTCTACTGTGTTCATTTATTCGTGTAACGAACACATAAAAGTAGTGGTGACAACATTTAGCACGTAATCGGAAGTGCCGAATTGAAGTGATTCATTCCTTATGTCTATGATACTAATTTTCAAATCAATTCAGTAGTATCAAAAACATATATTGTATATAAATTTCAGATATCAATAAATGCATCATACTTTCACGAATATTGGCTTCAAAAGTTGCTTCACTCAAAATGTTTCTTCCCACAAACTGATAGTCCTACAACTGTGAAATTTATACCGTTAGGTTATGTATAGGTTAGATTAGATATAAGGTTAGGGTTAACTAATAATCATATGGATTCAATACTAGTAGCGCTATCTATGTGTTAGTCTACGAACTTTTCAGAGCCACCTATGATTTTCAATTAGTTCATTCCTACAAAATTGTATTGGATGCTCTGAAGCTACTGAATTTACGTTCTGAATATTTTATTCCTACTCGATTTTGAGACTGAAGAAATGAAATTGATGTTTTTATTTGTTTCAGCTGTGTTTCTAATTCCTTATGCCATCATCATGGTGTTCATAGGAGGGCCAATGCTGTATATGGAGTTAGCTGTAGGACAATTCACAGGCAGGGGACCAATTGGCGCTCTGGGCCATCTCTGTCCTTTGTTGAAAGGTAAATATGTTTCATGATGAAGTGTGACCCACATTTAATGAATCTATTTTGATATTTTTTTGTTCAATATCGAACGTCAAAAATATTTGGAACGTTTTTGAACTTATATGTAAAATTCTTCTGTTTTACGGGGGATAATAGGGTCAATCATTCAGGAAAATTATGGAAGGGGTCAATATTAATGAAAATTGTTTTCAAAATCAAATTCACTATCCCCAAAAACCCATGCTCACGAAGGCTACAAAGTTTGATACTGTAATATTCTCCAGTTGAAGAAAAAAAATTCGTACTGGTATGCCGCGATCGAATGGAATTTGATGTACCAAAAGTACCAAAGTGAGTCGGTTGTTGCTGAGACTTCTACATAACCTCCATCTTCGCAGTTATCGTACATACCACTGATATGTATACCGCAGTGCTAGACGAAACGTTTGGAACCTACTCTAGGTTTCATTCGACCACGGCTTACTAACCCGGATTCTGTCGCCTTTCATGGTGACTCCTCCGACCGTTTTATTCTTCAATTCTTCACCTTCTTTACTCCCAAGGGGTTTCAAACTTCTTCCTCTAATATTTGGTTCAGTTTTGGAAGGTCTCAAAATTCTTATGACACTCTTCATTGAGGAAATGCTGGATGTTTCAAAGTTTGTGACTGTTATTTCACCAAATTGAATTTCATACCATAACTTGCTTGCTTTCAAATTTGTTGTTGAATTCAAGTACATTTTTTTGTTTATCTCAAACTTTTTAGCCCCAGGGTGCACTTTCACTTTTACCTTATTAGATTCAAGGGTGAAATGCCAACTTGAGTGGTGAAACGCAAGTTGAAACAGTATTGTACTTCAGACATTTGGAACAAAAGCTTGTTTTCAAATTATTCTTAGCCAGATGTTTCAGTTTCACCTTTTATAATAATAGCGGAGCTCAAGCGGGGATTTCGGGATTTACTAAAGCGATTAATATACAGGGGTATACCTTGTACCCGGTTAAGTACCTCCACCAAATATGAGCCCTATATATAAGGCCGTTTGTGAGGAATAAAGGATCAGATTAGTAAAAAAAATTGATCATCAGAAATTCTCGAGCGTGTCAGATTGAGGTAGGTTGATATACACCTGTTAGAAGGTGTATATTCCAGTAATCTGACAATTTGAGAGTGACGTAAAGAAAGGGGAGGGCAGCAGAGTTGTAATATAATAATAATAATAATAATAATAATGTTTATTTCATAAGATTGAATNGCCAGATCGACAAAAACACAAAGACATGGTTTACCATTATCCATCGAATCGTAAATTTCTCTCATTAGGTGAATCATTGCATCTTGTGTTGAACTGGCCTCTCGGAATCCGTATTGATTGTCAGAGAGTATTTTATATTTTTTCAAATATTTATCTATTCTTACTTTCAATATTTTCTCAAATATTTTAGCTATATGACTGATTAATGATATGGGACGAAAATTAATTACCTCATTTTTATTTCCGGATTTAAATATTGGTTTGATTATCGAAGTTTTAAAGGCTTCTGGAAAACTACCGGTATTCATGGCTCTATTTATAATATGGGTAATTGGTTTAGCTAGGTAATCGACGAATTCTATAAGAGTTTCAGACCTGATGTTATCAAGACCTGGTGATTTACCTTTATTCAGATTATTAATTACATTTTTAACTTCATGTTCATTGGTGTCTTCTAAGAAGAATGAGTTGGATATTGTTTTCTCTACAATTATCGTAAAGAAATAACGTCAATTCGACATTCTCGAGCGTACCTTTTTTTTATTTCGAAGCAAATAATTCAAGGATAACGAAAATTATATAATCTGACGATTTCCGCAAGCCTAAATAACAAAAATTCGTCGATAAAGTTCAATGCGTGCAGCTGTGTGATACCTATGTTTTCCTCTCCAAGTTTCTATTCCTCTATTCTTTATTCGCCTTTTCTCTATCTATTACTCTCTCACTTCGTCCCCACTCCGGTGGGGACGGAGTGAGAGAGTAATACATAAAACACGTAATATACGTTAAAAACATAAAGATGAACCATATATATCATGATCTGAAGAGCTTGAGTATTTCAAAATGGCGAATTTTTTTGCACATTATAATAATGGCTGCGAGTTTGCGTCAGATCGAAATCGTCAGATTATTGAATGAGAACTTTTTTTTGTTGCACTCAACACCCTCTTAGAAAATCTGACGTGCTCGATAATTTTTTTTTCTTTTCACTTTTAACCCTTACGTACAACCACCCCCATCATGCAAACGATCAGATTAACATACCAACATTATTAAAAACACGTAGAACATTGTTGCTATCAATATCTGATGCGCTCGAGTATATCCATGCAACAGTATTTTTCTACATATTTGAACATCTATAGCCGCTTACCCCACCGATGAAAAGGTTTATATTATATAACATTTTTTCTTCTCATCATCTAAGCTTTGCAACCTAATATGTCTCAATGACGCTCGAGTAAATCACCATTTTGCATCGTGGGCTCTCCTGCTGTAAAGGAAGACGTCAATTTTGTAAGTTGCCTCAATAATGATTCCATTTGAGTCGAACAGAAATAGAGACGATGTTATAAAAGAACTTTGATATTCACCAGTTGTGAACGTTATGAATGGTGAATTTGTATATTATGATATTTTCATTGTGGTTAATATGTGTTCGACCTGAATTCGATCATACAACGTCTCGTAGGGGAGACCGGGGCAAGCTGAAATAACTAAGATAAAATCGTTATATAGACAAAATTGAACTCTTTAATGAAATTTTTCAACAATTGAGGTAACACTTATTTGTGTCTCATTGAACGTTGTAGTATGCGAAATCACATAACTTTTCTAGCAAATAATGATTAATTTGAACTCGGCAAATTACCCGTTTTGCTCCACAGCCGGGGTAAAATGTGAAACACTATGAGGAAAAGAATAGACATTTTGATCGAGACATCATTTACAAATATACAGTGTATAAAAGCCAAATGGAATAAACTCATTATTTTGGTTACTGTACGTATTTGAAAAATAATCACGAAACACGTCAAATGAAAATCACAATTTGACATTCTTCAACGTGAAAATGCCATCCCTACCATCAACCCCCTTCGAATGACAGGTATAAACCCCAATTTTGCAAATGGAAAGGTTTTATTTTATACACATTGCTCTTTACATATTCTCATGAAAAGAAACCTAATGATGAAAGATCAGGTGATCGCGCTGGCCATTCAATCGATTCTCGCCTCCCTATCCATAGATTAGGACATGTTGTATCGAGGTATTGCTGGACATTAACTTGGTAATGCGGTGGTGCTCTATCCTGTTGAAACCATATCGTGATCTCTTGAACTTGAGGGTTTTCTGGATCATGATATGAATTTGTTAAGCTTTGAATGACATCGCTTTGAAGTAGTACCAAATAATTATCCCCATTCAAGTTGCCCTCAATGAAAATAAGGCAATAGTATGGTTTTCTACAATTCCTGCCCAATCATTAACCATTTGAGGGTATTTCGTTTATTCTCTTCTCATAGTGAGGATTTTCGCTTGACCAGTAGCGGCAATTGTGCCGATTAGCATGAATGTTGAGAGACAAAGTATACTCATCAGAAAACATAACGTCTTCTAACTGGATGATATTGTTATCGATCATGTCCATCATTTTCTCACAAAAATAAGTTCTTCTATCAAAATCGTCTTCCATGAGCTCCTGAGTAGGTATCATTTTATAGGGATGCATTTTATTTCTTGTTATTTGATATGTTCACTATCGATGCATGGCTAACATTTAATGTAGTGAATGCCTGTCTACTCCATATATGTGGGTTTTCCTCAAACTCAAGCATCACATCTAATTTGAGTTCATCACTCATTGCATTGGTAGCTGCTTTTTTCATCTGCCCCACGTGACCAAGCTCGGGAAACTGCGTCTCTATTTTGCTTATTGTTCTTTGAGACACAGGCGTGAATTATAAAATTTCTCATGAAATAGACGAGCTACTTCCTGTTGTGTTCGGGTTTTATCTCTGTAACCAATCATTATTTATGTATTTCCGTTAATATATCCATTCGTCAGACTTGAAGTTAACGAACTTCTAACTTAAATTAAAATAAGAACAGCTACTGTAAAATACAAAACAAGTTGACAAGACGTTTTGAACTAACGTTGCCGCGGAAATTATTCACGAATCTGAACGAATTGTTCCTTCAGATGATTTGATTTATAGCCAGTCTTCAAGTATGCACTGACTATATGTGAAAAGTTTTCGTTCTTTACACAAGGAATTGGGCAAATTTCGGATATACGGTTGGTTACCTCGTTCACAGGCCGATGAAGCGATGACAAACCTGTTGTTTTTCGTCCGCTTCAGCCTAGTTCGAGGAATGATACTCTGAAGGAATTCGATTTCCAGTTATCGGAAATCATCGACTTTATGTTGATGATAGACACTACCTTGCACTGACAAGAGGCCAAACAGTCCAAAACCGGTCTACATGTGTGTTCCAATTATTGAAAATCTATTGCAGCAGTTATATCGCCAACAGCATATGCAGTAATAATTTCAGTGAAGAATCCTGCACTGACACCTGTCGGATATAATCCAACCCCCTTCGTGGTATTACCCAGGGGAGTAGTTGTTTTCTCATAAGTGTCAGTCCATTAACCTACAGTGTAGGGAGTTGAGATTGGCCTGAACGAATTGTTCCTTCAGATGATTAAAATGCAAAGATATATTTTTGAATTTTGTTGAAATAGAAGTTACAATAAAATATATCATCAGTGCCTACACAGAAAATATTATTTTCACAACAAAGGCGTGGCAAAACGGGATAGTATCTCATCATGCTCCGATCATTATGTCTCGATCCACATGTACTGAAATACGTTTGAGCGATTCTAACGATTACCGGCAAAAAAATCTAGTCTGAATTCAAAGTTTTATATGTCTGCACATTAGTTTTGAACCTAAAACCGCCCTAAACACG